AGCTTCTCGAAGGTGTTCCTCTTCCAGTGCTTGTTCTCCTGCTGCGCCAACGCCTCGTCCTCGCTGAAGGCTCGCACCACCGGACCCGGCATGGGCAAAGGGAGGGCACCGTCGCTCTCATAGCCCGAACCGTCCTTTTGGGAATCCCAACTGCTCCGTTGTTTCATGTGGTAGTGGGCTTGCTGGGCTTCCCAAGCCAGGCGCGCCTGGGCCAGGAAGGGCTCGGGGAAGCCCCGCGCCGCCTCCGCCTCCACCGCCTTGCTCTCCGTCCGGTTCATCGGGGACCTGTTGGGTCCCGGGGTGGCTCGTTCCTCACCCAGCATCTGCTCGCCCAACACCTCTCGGTCCCCTGAGCCATCCGTGGAGGAGGCGTTGGGGTCGTGGGATAAGGAAGGCTTTCGGCTTTTCCTCTTTCTGGTGGAGGGTGAGTAGCCGGTGGAGGACAAGGTGTCCTGTTGGCTGGACCACGACATGGAGTCCTCGCCCTGGGCCACCTGGCCACCCGTTGGGCCAGGGCAGAAGTCGGGTCCCTCCATGCTGCTGTAGTCACCCGATTTGATCTCCAAGCGTTGGTCCCGGACCAGGCAGGGGCTGTGCTGCAGTGAGTAGGAGCCGCCGATGGGGTTGGGGGAATATTTGTGCCTCAAACCCGTCTTCATCTTGGGGCTGGAGCCTGACTGCTCGACGTAGACCAGTTGCCTGACGTACTCCTTGCCGGCGGGGCTGTACTCCAGGCTCATGAACCGGTCGGGACACTTCTGTTTGGTGAGCACCAGCTGCTGGTAGGGCGAGTTGGAGCCTTGCTTGGGCGACTGCAGGAAGGGGTGAGGTTTACGGATGGGCGATTTCTGCGGCGAGCCGGCTTTGTAGCTCCCGCTGGCTTCGTACTGCATGTCCACGGGGGGTTCATCGTAGATGGGTGCCTGGTACTCCATGGGGGGTTCTTCGTAGAGGGGGGGCTCGTAGGCGTAGCGGGGCGAGGAGGGTTGCGACTCGCTGGAGTGCTTGCGGTGCTGGGCTTGGAGCGGGGAGCAGAAGGAGTCCCCCCGGCCGAGCAGCGGCGAGCAGCTGCCCACGTGCTCAGCCCTCTTCAAGAAAGGCGACTGCTTCCTCTCCGGGAAGAAAACGGAGTTGTCGGCGTCGGGGGCGAAAGTTTGCAGGTTGGGCGACTGTTGGCCCCCCGAGGGTCGCCGCGAACGGGTGCCCGGTGGGTTTTCGGGCGTGTAGCCGTTGCCTTGGTGCATGAGGAAGCTGGGCTCGCGGTCGGTCACCTTGATCAGCATCCGCTCCTTGGTGCCGGC